ATACTTAAAAATTTGAAATTTAATTATATATATCATTTATTGATATGTTCCATCAATGTAAACTTGTACATAATGTATACAATTTTATTTTTTTCTATTTTTTTAAGTTCATTTATTTTAAAACGGTTTATTTCATTTACATTAATGTAGCTATTAAAAACAGTAATTCAAATGTTTAGCACGGGGTGTGTTCAATAAAAATGGTGACAGCTTAATGCATACTAGATTGGATTTACTAATGTAATATATGTTTAATTACTTTATCACGGTTTTCATACCTCTTTTAATTCTTGTGGATACAGCATGTCTAATAATTCCTCATTGGCCAATATTTTGAACGCAATTTCACTCACATTATCGAAATAAAGATTTTCCAAGTTTCGCAGGTAAGTAAATGTCCCTTGGGCGTGTTCAATAAATATATTCGTCAAATCTGTCAGAGATAATTCGAAGGTTTGGTTCACGTCTTCCATCTGACCAAAAATTGTCACCTCAAACTTCATCGCATTTTTCCAAATGGCCTGGAGATCGCTATTAAATTGTTCAGCGATCTCCCCCACACTGTCATAATACACGTCTTCAGAAATTAATTCTTTTTCGAAATCTTTCGATAGTTTTGTAATAGTGTAGAATATATAGTTCTTTTTTTCAAGGAATGCTTCCATCATCTCCTAATAAAATTAAAAAAAAAAATAGGTATGAAAAGTATATTATTCTAAGAGGGGTAACTTAGGGAGTACTTGTTTTATGTATGAAAAAAAAAATTACAATGCTCTGGAGTTGACCCTCTTTTTTTGCTTTTTCTACTGTGTCTTGATACTGTTTCATTTCTGCTTGTCTGATAGCATATTGTTCTTGACCAAATTCGAATAGTTCAATACAATTCTTCACGAATTCTTCTCTAAATTCATCATAAAGGGGTTGCACGTCGTCCATTAGAAGGAAAGTATTTCCCTCAACGTCATCCTCAAACATCGAATCGAATAAATAACTGCTCCCTAGATATTCCACGAAACTCAATGAATGAATTTTGGCATCGGCCAGTTCTTTTTCTTTTTTTAATTTAATGATATTTGCCTGATATTCTGCTTCGTGTATTTCTCTTAACAACGCTCTGAAATTCATTATAAAAACGTAATGGTTGTTTTTGTTGTGTTTCGTACTTCTACAGTCCTCGTATAATTATTCATTAGTACCTGGGCGATCGAATTCTGCTCAGTAAAGATGTAAAACGTCTAGCAAGATCTATTTTGGATAATGAGACCTAGTTAGATCGATTTTTTTCGCCCCCATAAATCCCTATATTATTGTAAATTTCATCGCAATCGTTAGTCCCCTTTTCGAGAACGCAATTGCAAGCAAACAAATATATACATATATAAAGATTGCTCGTATAATGGTATACAATAATAATTGCATAAAATCCTTTTTTTACTTACTCGAAAATATCTTGACCACCTTCTCGTTCTTCTTTTGTAATAAAAATGTATTCGTAATAATCTAAGACGGGTAGAACGGCTGCTATATACAAACGAAATGTGTCTTCTTCAGCACAAGGATTACCAGCCAAATTGAGGGATTTTAAATATTTAAAACCGCGGAAATATAAAACCTAAAATATTGCTTTAAATAACTAAATTGAACGATTTGGCAACGTTGCAAACGCAGCGTGGAATATATACTACTGGAGATCGCGTACTGTGTGTAGGGAAATGCGCTTGTTAATAATAACAAATTTGCGGTCGGTCTACCAATGAAAAAAATCAGCGATTTCATTTCCAGTAGTACAGAATTAATTATTTTTTAACTTTTGGTTCGTATTTTTTTATTTCGTTTCAGAGTTTGCGTTGGTACTTACGTTATCTTTATTTTGAATTAAATTGTTACCAATGCTCAGAATTATCAATTCTGTTTGATTTTGTAAATTTTCGATCTTAGTTATTTTATTTTGGAACAAGTTTATCACTTCCAAATTGACGAGTTCATCCAAATTCTCAATCGCTGCTATTTTATTAAACGATAGGTTTAGTTCCTTTAAGTGTATTAGGGACTCTAAATTTTCTATTTTCTCTATGAAATTGTTATTGAGTGATAGTTGTGTTAGAGATTTTAGGACCCATAGATGGTCTATTCTTAAAATTTCTGAAAATTGTCCAAAAAATAATGAACATACAGTTGGTGGTCAAGTAATTTATCGAAACTGTCAGATGTGGTTTGCAATTTCGAAGTTATTAGATCTCATTAGCACGCCACAGGCAGTTTCAATAAATTACATCGTCCCCAACCAAAAAACGAGTTGGTATAGGTAAATATTAAGGTAACCGCGATCTACTGACGTTTGAAATAGTACAGTATAGTTAGTAGCAAATGCCACTAGATGGCGATATACTGTTCATACCTTAAAAAATAAATGATTATCAGTTAAAGGGGCTGTTGAATTTACTTTTAAATTCCAAGCGAATCGTATAAATTTCGTCTAAAGGGATTCCTTCTTCCCTTAAAAGTCTTCCAGCTTCATCAGGTTTGGCCATGTCATCTATACATGCTTTTATCATTTTATTATCTATGACTTGAGGCTCGTTACGTATGCACCAGGGAATTATAGTATTAGCCACTTCTTTGTTTTGAGAAATCATTTTTATCGGATAATTTAGACGTTTACGGTTTATTAAAGTTATGTTTTACCATTAAAATTAGATTTCTCAATCTTTAAAAAAATTAAAATAATTATTATTCGTAATTGGGCGTTAAAAAAATTATTTGTTGGAACACAAAAAAAAAATTGACGCGCCTTCACATGTCAAACAAATAAAACTTTTATAATTTTGGGAATCCCAAAGCCATCGTGATATGTACGATATTGGTGTGATGGCGATTACTCATGTATTTGTCACAGCCAATTATACCTATAAAAAAATTTTGACGTCTAAATCTCGAGGGAGGGGAAGTTGGAAAAATAACTTAAAGGTCATGTACAATATCATTTTAAAGGGCTAGTGGTGGGAATTGTAGAATTTATTTTATTTATTTCATTTCATTTCTATATTTTTCAGGAAACTTGTATACTTTTTGATAAATTTAGGATTTTCTATTAGATATAAAACAATATCTTACTTGTTAATGTATATTTTGTTTATACATATTTAATTGAGAGTATACAATTATTATGTATAATGCATATAGATAAGTATAAAATTATAAATTATTTTCCAAATTCTCATTTTGTAGTTCTTTATCAATCATGACTAATTCTTCAAATTCACTTGTTTGGACTTCCAAAAAGTGTTTGATTTCGAGAATTTTCATTCTGTTTGTTTTAATTTCATTCCTACAAAATAGGGACTATTATGGTATACATTCTTTTACAAATCCAGTTATTTTCGTTACGATCAGTAGTTATAGAGTGTTTAAAAAAAATTCAAGAAAAATATACTAATTAAACTAGTATTTACGAAATTTTAAAACATTTTTTTTTAATTTCTCATCCAATTTACCAAAATTAAAACGGATTTTAGGCATTGACAACAATTTATTAGGTTCAAGTTCAAGAAAATTAAAAAAATAGTTAAATGGACTGGGAACAAAAGTTGTGACATCTTTGACAACGAGGTAAAACTTTAGGACATGTACTACTGGAGGTGATTTGCTGTGTGGGGGGAAGACTTCCGAAGAAAGAGAGCAAAATCAGTATATTTGTCGTCTCACTCGTAGTACATGTGCTAAGAACATAAATAATTAATAAAAAACAATATAAATATGTCTAGGATTTCGTAAAACGGTATTAAAAAGGATTGGATATGGTGCAATGATTTTGAACACGGTAATTTAAATGATAAAAAAAAGTCACTTACTCATACAGATTATCAACGATGTTACTTAGCCAACTTCTTGCTCTTCCAATAAGTAAATCTTCTCTAGCGTCAATTGTTTGCATGTGAATGTCGTGAGTTCCTCCCAAAGCGTTTCCCAAAGTGTCTTTATCAACAAATAACTAAACAAATAATAATAAAAAGAACCCTTGGTTTCTTGGATTTATTGAGAAATTGTTACTGTATAGTTACTTACTTAAGGATGTTCAATGATGAAACTTTTTAATAAAAATAACAAAAACAAATTAAAGAAAAAGAGAAAAACGTTTTTCAAATTTTATCGCGTTTGATCATGCAACGTTGCCACATGATGTATGTATTTTATGCTGCAGACTGCAGCAAGTGGTTAATTGTTAAGTATGTTTAGTTTTATTGCATTTAAAATTGTAATTTAGTATTGTATAAAATAAAAAATGTTGTGCACGTAAATTTAACAAGTTTTTTCAGAATATACAGGGTGTTTTGTTACGTTTTCAGTTCCAAAAACGCGTCATTATGTAGCAGTAATATTATGAACATCGATTGCATAAAGTAAAGGTCAAAGTTTAATTAAAAAATAAACTAATACGAAGTTAATACTTAGTTTAATACTTAATGTTTGCCTTACGTGTTCTGCCTCGGGTGGTATATCAGCATCAGGATTGGGACCTTTGGGCCCCACCATTCTAGTCATTATTTCAGTTATATTTTCGTTATAGTTTGCTTGCAAACTTCGCAACTCTGAAAACACAGCTTGAGCGCCTTCCACAAAATTATTTAACAAATCGGTCAAAGATATGTCAAATAATTGATTCACTTCTTCCATCTGTCCGAAAATTGTCACTTCAAATTTCATGGAACTTTTCCAAATTTGATGAAGATCGTTGTTGAAACTGTCCGATATTTCTTGTAATGCTTCGTTGTATTCGTCCTGATCGATAATCTTTTCTTCTAATTGTTTTCCCAAATTTTTAACAATTTCAAACACTTCATTTTTCTTCTCTAAGAAGTCCTCCATCATTTTCTAAAATTGTACAATAAGTTGTCATCTCTGTAATGTGTTCTGAATCTACGTACTATACTCTGCCTTTGTCCTTCCCCTTTGGCTGTTTTAACTGTATTTTCATACTGAGCGATTTCTTCTTGTCTAAGAACATACTGTTCTTGTCCAAATTTAAAGAGTTTTACGCAGTTATTGACGAATTCCTCTTTAAATTCGTCGTACAATTCGGTTACTTCATCGCCAAATAACAAAAATAACTTTCCATCCACGTCATTTTCGTACATGGAATCAAAAAGATGACTGCCACCCAAATATTCCACGAAACTACCGGCGTGGAGGGCGGCATCAGCAAGTTCTTTTTCTTTCTTTGCTATTTTAATGTTCTCTTCTTTTTCGTTTTCTTCAACTTCGTTTAACATCATCCTATTTAATATAAAATTATTTATTAAGAAAAAGTTATTCTGAATAAGAGTGTGACATTGAAAATTATAGGGGTATCGTTTTAGTATTTACTATACATATGGAAAGAAATGGAACCTTCAGTATTGGAGAATGTCACTGTGCCACAGCTAAAATTACACTTAATTTACAAGAAACGTTAATGGTTCAAGTGGTAAAATGCTCGTCTGCTACACGAAGCGTCCCGGGTTCGATTCCCGGCCGATGCAGTATCTTTTTTTATTAAGATGAAATGAGTTGATATAACCGTTTAAATTTCAACCACACACGTTCCTAGAAATTATTAAACTTACATGAACTTTGCCAAACCTTGTTCCCGTTCTTCTTTTAAGATTCTTTTGTATTCATAATAGTCGATCTGAGGTAAAAATGTGGCTACAAATATTTGAAAGTCTTCATCTAAGGCGCAAGGGTTTTCAAACATGTTTAGAGATTTGAGTTGTCGAAATTTACGTAGATATAAAATCTTAAAAAATAAAAGCAGTTAAATTGAGTATTGTATTTTTATACTATAATTTAAATTTGAAACGTTTATCAAAATACATATATTATAAACACTGGAACATTATTTATACGTTATTTCTGTCACAGATATTGTTTCGACCAATACTGAAAATGGTAAGTTTCTTTTGATTTTCTAGATTTTCGATCAAATCAATCTTGTTGTTGAAGAGATTTAATATTTCCAAGTTGTGTAGGTTTTCCAAGTTTTCTATCTTTAATATCTTATTGAAGGACAAATTTAATTCCTTCAAATGCACCAGACTATCTAAATTTTCGATTTTTTCGATAAGATTGTTGTTCAGACCCAACTTTGTCAAAGATGGAAGGATCCACAAGTGATCTATGCGAAGAATTTCTATAAAAGGTTTAATACTAGACCATGATGTGACAACAAATTAATAATGTTTCATACTTTTTAATTCAAATCGTATTTCGTAAATTTCATCTAAGGGCAGTCCCTCGAGTTTTTGAAGTCTCCCAGCTTCCCCTTTGCTAGCCATATCGTCAATCATAGTTTGGATCATGTCATCATCAATTGCTTGAGGCTCTTGCCTGATACACCAACTGGTCATTGTTATTATTTATTTCACGTTTTTTATTATTCTCACTTAAACACGATAAACAGTTACCTGTACATCTTACAAATAAATAACGTATGCGAAAATAAACGTCAAAATGAAGTATTTAATCAATAAAATTGCCTAACGACAAAAATGAATACGTATTTCGAACACTAAAACATTAAGTTTTTGTTTGTTAATTTATATGATTATTCAACATGCCAGTAGATTGAGGATACCAGATAAGAAGTTTTACCAAAAAGAGTATTTAAGTGTTTAAATGCCATCGATTAGAAAAATAAAACTAGTGTCTAGTACAAAGCTGGAAGATAGGGCAAAACATTTGCCTAAATGACCCAAACAAACCACAAAAAAACGTGGGCTCGGAATCGACCCGATGACCTCTCGAATGCGAAGCTATAATCTAGACCGCCCGATAGAGCATAAAATACAAGAGTTAACATAACATTTTTATTTGGTACAGTAATACATTACAGTTTTAAATGCAATGAAACAACACTTAACAATAAAAAGAACTATCACATAAGAAATAATTACACAAATTCCTTTATTTAATATCTCTAAAAAAAATATAAAGTAACTAAGTACTAATGATTATTAGCTATCATAACTAACTGAACTACATGTTTGTCAAGTTGCCTGACAAGTTTCATTTTTAAATGGCACATGGTAATATATCCTTTTTATATTTTGAAGAATAAATATTTATTTAATGGACCTTTAGGGAACAATCAAATCACAGCAAATGATGTAAATATTTCTAAAAATTAAAGGAAAAACAGACATGTAATATAAAAGGTTTATAATATCTAGTTTGTTCGTACTTTAGAAGTAATTAATAAGATGATATAAAATTAACAAATAAATATAAATCATATGCTAATTAATTAAGTTACCTGCTTAAAGATAGACAGACATTTGTTCAACGATAACAATAATAACCCCTATAAAAAAATACTGAACTTGACACAAATGCACAGTAATATGTAAATTAAGTGAAATCTTTTCACACATTCGAAAATATTAAACAATTTGTAAACAGAGATCAGGTCGTTTAATTTAAGTAAAATGTTTTTTCAGAACACTTAATAAATACCAAAATATGCTAACTTAAAAAGCAGTTTGTGTTTTGTCCTTTTCTTAAAAATCATTTCTAAATTTCTCAAGGAACTTTAATATTACACGCATGCCTTAGTTTTAATTGAAAGAGGAGGACACTAGAATAACACCAGATACATATTTTCCATTTCTTCAGTTTTTAAATTATCCTAATTTTTGTTTTGCTGCTTCTTTACGCTCATTTATATCAATAATGGCCAAATTTTTACTGGCCACAACGAGATGAAGGATCGAAATACCAGACTTCACAATGGCAATGGGTAATGAAAGGTATAGCAGGGCTCGGAATAATGATATTCCAGCAACTACAATAAAAACATTAAATGCTTACATTAAACTCAATACATATTTGAGATCAATAGTGAATGCCATGTATGTATATAGTGATAATTTTTATCTATTTTACTCCTTCTAAATTTATATTTCTTATTTATTTAAGAATTAAATTCACAATAAGTTATCAATTACTTAAGCAATTCAATTTATAAATGAGTCAATCTATTTTTATCTCATGCATTCGATTAATTTGTCACACCTTACATACTGATAAGTGTAATATCAAATTTTGCAATAACAAATCAATAAATTTTATAAAATTAAATAAAAAAGCCAATAATGAAATCAACAACTTACTAATTGGTCCTTCTGTGAAGTACAGCAAATAAAGCGTGGAATAAAAAGCTTCATTTCCAAAGCACATGAAGAAAAGAACTGTACGATTGGTGTAGTAAATATTCATAATAGGATTTTCAGACATATCAATGAATTTATGGCTTGTTTTACCTTGTAAGAGAGAACTGAAAAGATCAATCGAAATTGAATTGAATATTGACACTTAATTTTTCTAACTTACGCATGGATGTATATCCAATGGCAAGCAACATCTACTGTCATGGACATTAAAAATAGGAATGAATACTTCGGGTAGAAATGTGCCAGAACAGCACAAAGACACATAGTCCCACAACGGTCCGTTAACTGGTCAAGAATGGCTCCAAATTTCGTACTTTGATTAAAGTATCTAACAAAATTGTTTCAGTAGTAGGTATTTTGGAGAAAAATTATTTAAAAAACTTACCTTGCGGCATGTCCATCAAAAGCATCTAAAAATGATGATACCACGTAACATGTTCCTGCAATTATATAGTTTGTCGGCATAAAGTAAAACGAAATGATTGCTAATACAACCCTCATATACCCTGAAAAAAACTAATAATGTTAGAGTTATTTTAATCTTGAATTAGTAATCAAATTGTTACCTATGATATTTGGTACAAATAAAAATATGTTTTCAGTGGTCATCTTATTTCACTAATAAAAGTTACGAAATTATGCTAATAAGTATTTTATCGTTTAACAAATTAATAACAATGGAAACGTTTAATTTTACACTAAATTTGCCTCACGACTTAATTTTAAACCTTTAATCAATTTTTTTTATTCGATTGTTTATGGTTTTTAATTATTTTTTTGTAGATTTGACAATTGACATTGACAGATGAGGTCACCTTGAAATGTGTCTAGATTATAGCTACTGTAACTCTTAAATCGATAAATTAAGAAATATGCCGTCTTCGTTTTAATATTTGTCAATTGATAAAAGTTTAAAACAAGTAACAAGTATCTTATTAAGAAATGCAATAAAAACATGTTTTAGTTGTTTATCTTGCTAATTTCATTATGAAATGCAATTTTTGTTAAATACATGTTTACTTAATATGCATTAACCGTGCTGTGACATGAGTGTAATTTATTTAATGTTAACGAACATTTGCATTTTTGAGAATTAATTCAGATGACATTTAAGATAGATGAAAAATATTATTTGAAAATTATGACGTGATAGTATGCAGTCAGCGGTAATTTATTTAGGTAGTTAAGTAATTGGCTTGAAGATAGCGTAGTTGTAGCCACAAGTGTCTTGTAATGGCCGACGGTGAAAATGTGGTTCTCTTGTAGAAAAGACTACAAATTTTGATTTTTAGTTTACTAAATTATGTGTTATTCGTATTGATTGTGATATATTAGGTTCGTAAAATGTGCAATCGTTAATAGTGAGTTTGACAGTTTCGGTTGAAGATCGCTGGGCTTCGAGAAAAATGGCCCCTTCGCCCGAAAATGACAATGCACCGAAAGCTCCTGATAAAAACGAAAAGTGCAGGGAGGAAACTCGTCCAGAAACGCGTTTAGCGGAAACCGAGAATGCGACAGCTGGTCCTGAGAACAAAGTAAGTAGTCGAAAATATATTAGTCAACCTTTATACCTACGTACGTTTCAATTATTTCTATTTGGTGTGTTTGATACGGTTTACGATTTTTGTTGGTGAAATTGCGAAATCGCTTTTAGAGTTTATTTGTCAGACAGATTGTCTGTTTATGTTGCCTTTACCTTGCCCCAATTATTATAGTGTTTTGTATTTTACCTAATTTGCGACATGTTGCAAATGGCTGCCTATAATCGCTGACGTGCAAATGTTTTTAGCTAACTTTTCGGTATCGTCAATGCAATTGTAATTGGTATATCATATTTAATGTCGTTCATTAACATATTCCGAAAAGTGCAATTTAATTTTTTGCCGTCGTTTTCGTTTAATCGTGTGAACAATAGAATTTTTATCGTGATAAGCAGAGTAGTGTTGAATTGAATGACGTTGCAATTCACGAATTTGATACATACAACATAATTGAATGCAAAATCGTTGCCTGTTTTTTTGTGTTTTTTGTTATAATCACGTGGTATGTCGAATGAGGATTTCTTTAGCGTTTGCTTGTTTGTAGTCAAAGCCCAGCAGACTTCTTACATAAATAAATGTATTTATTTAAGGAGTAATACTGTTAATAGAATTGCAATGAAGTACAAGGGTGTGATGTTACAATTTTTTCAATAGGAAGCTTCTGTTTCGCGATTAGACGATGGACAACTTAAGGCCCTTTTGGACGAAGCTATTACTTATAAGTCACCAAAGGACAGAGTTGGCAAAAGCCAACTCTTTCAGGTTAGTAAGAATACTTACCTTTTAAGGGTAATCGAAACAAATACTTTGCATGCCATCTCCTTCACCTTATAAGGACGGTTCTAGTGTATTAGGACATGTATATTTATTTAAAAAACTTTGTTTATTGATCACAGTTATTTTTTTGCACGTTGCATGTAGGTTTATTGAAAGCAAAGTTTTGGTTGTCATTATTTGTATTATTTACCCATATTCAAATTTCTTACTTGTCACAGCTGTTCTATAATATAAAATTGTCTTTTTTATTTATTTTCACAATAATTTGCAAGTGTGGCCTTTGTGGTTCATCGCTTCATTAGTTTCTATTGCTAGCAATGAAAATCTGACATTGCAGGAAATTGATTTTTAAAAATAGTTGGTTTATCAAACAGGTGCTTTACTTTGTTGTTAGTTTATCAATGTGCAGGCATGACTAATCGAAAATTCAAATAATGTTGGGTAAACCTGTATGGGAAATCTGCAAATATTTTCTTCTTAAATACATAAAAACAATCGATGTTTTCATTATTTTCTACAAAGTGGTTTACCCACACCCCTATATAAAATTTTGTATTTTTTTGGTGTATTGATGAAAGGAAGTTAAATCATTTGCAAAGTAACAAGACTCAACAAGTTGCATTTCCTACAACACTTGCATTAGTTTTTTTTGTATTGCAAAAAATATGAGTAACCATACAGTTTTAAAAATTTGGACGTATTTTTATTCATAAAAAAGTAATTTTGTTGTCATTAATTGCTCACTTCTCATACTTCCCTCAGAAATTTATTACTGTTAGTGTTTTAGGTAATATTTATTGACCTTGTAGCACCTATTACTGTTGGCCTGTATAGGGTGGTTGAATTGAGATCACTTTAAGGAAATTTTGTTTTTCTTATACATATGGCACTAACAAATTCTATTGATTTACCGACAACTTTTATTTTTATTGAGATTACGAAATTACGACATATGCCTATTTATGTACTAATTGCTGATAAGATAAAATGATTAATTCATTCAAAAAACTCTGTGCCTTATATGTAGGTAACCAAACTGTTACTCCACAATGTCAGTAGTTACTTTATTTATTAGTTTCCTATACTGAATTTTCTTCAGCAGTTACTAAGTCAGTAGAATGGATCAAAATATTAAGACACCCTGTATAGAATGGCAATAACAAGTGTTTGTGACAACTTATTTTTTCGAAATAAAAACTAAACATTATGTATTCTTTGAGTATCAATAAAATAACAGTAAATTTAGGAATTTAACATGTATGTTAACTGCAATGTACTAATATTTTCTAAGCAGTTAGTCGTTATTCCTTATTTGCTTCACAAACAGGAAGTGTTTGTCTAAGTTCATATGTAAAATGAAATAAATGTATAATTGTGCGTATTATTTTTGACTGTATTATTTATTAACTTTTGAATGAATGATAAGTATTTAAAAAATGTTTTTTTTTTCAGTTGTAATCGTAAGTTTTATTAATACACATACATACATACATATTTATTACTTGATTGATGTGTAAGTGGAATATACATTTTATAACAATTAAGTTAAACAAAAAATAAATCACTCGAAATTGGAAGTAGCTTATTAAGTATGTTAGTAACTTGGCTGTATTTTGTTACGAATTTTATCGTCTCATATGCATAGCCATAGAAATTCCCGTATAAAAATAGCTTTATTTTGGCTGGGTTTTATAATAAGATTCCTAATAAAAATTAAATATAATATTTGGTAGTGATTATTTTTGCAGATAATTTTTTTAGCTTTATAGAAATATAAATCAAAAGTATAAGTTTCCTTAAAATATTGTACAGAGGATTTCTTAATATATACATGTGTTTGCATTTGTTGATTTGTTCTAGTAAAGTAAGACTAGAATTTTGAAAAGAATTTTCATTTAAGTTTTCACTGATATCAAATTATACGATAGCCATTTCAGTGAGCGATAATTTTTGGAATGGGTTTCTTTATTAAAACTGATTTCGTTTGCAGAATCTTTTAGCGAAAGCGGAAGAGGATGACAGGAAGGCTCGCGCGACGAGTGCCAGCGGTTCCGAGCTCGTGCGCCATTACAATCGGTCAGCAACACGCCGGAATCGTCATTGCAAAGATCAGAACAATTACTCGATCGCGGAAAATGTCGCCCACGGCGGCAGCCTCAACAATCTCGCCAAGGACGAACTTTACAATGCCACAATCAACCCCCTGTATCGTCCCCCGAAAACTGTCAGCGCGAGACAACGACAAGGGGGTATGAAACGATTATTTATATATTTATTAGGATTGTTAAAACATGTGCTTCGTAAGTGCTAGTTTTATTTATTTACTTATGTATAAATTTGTTCAGGTTGAACGTTTTATGAAAAAATCCCTTTTGCACAGAAAATACCGTCAACCTAAATAAGACAGTGCAGCAAGTCCAAGAAAACAACTCTCAATACTACCAGGGTCAATTCAAGTTTCCTTTCATTATATTTATGTCAAACAATTTGAAGAAAGATGAGATTGATAAAATTGGTCTGGGGAAAATGGACCTATTGATTGGATAAAAGTCAGGGATTTTTTTTCTTGTAGACAATAGACACCCTGCTGCAATTGTTTGTACTCGTTTTATGTACATAGTAGTTTGTCGAAATATTATAATTGTTCAAAGAGAATGTCAGATTTATATGCATGGTTGTATGTTGGGTTGCATACATCTGATTATTTTTGTATCGGACCCGAGCGAACGTCCGTATACTAATTTACGTAATAGTAAAAGATAATTTAGTTTTTAATGTTTATAGGTAGCTTGCCGTGCAACGTGAACGCAGGTCTAACGCCGACGTTTTTCGAAGAGACGCGCAAAATGAAAGAATCTAATCAGCAGCAACTGGAATACACAGCTATCGACATGGAGTCCGAAAGCCTTCTCGAGCATGATTCTTTGAATCAGGACTATGCAGAACAAGAAATGGAGATGCAACCGAAATTTTCCCGTCAATACACCAGCAGAGCCACCATCGAAATCGCTCCAAAGACTTCATGTAAGTTATTATTCCATCTATGACATTATTAAATGAGAAGCACTTATACGTAACTGTCGACTGGTGCTTCAGGTGGTGTTTTAAATTCCTCGTCCAACGTGGATGATGCCGTGATGGTATCGGCACTGGAGCGTTGCGAAAAGACGTCGGCGTCACTGATGGAGTCGGTAGATAAATCGTCACGTGTAGATTCATCGACGTCGCTGGTGCCGGCGGCGTCGTTGGGGTCGTCGGCATCGATGGCCGCGACGGCAGCCGCCGCGGCCGCAGTCTATCCCACTAACTACACTTTCGTCAACGTGCCGGCCAGCAATTGGACCTGCAACAAGAAACCGACAGAGGAGAAAGTAAGCATGAAATAGCGTGCACATAAGACTAATCTAACCCTCATTATATTAAAGTTGCTTTTTTATTTCAAGAAGGTCGACGAGAACGGAAACGCTCTGGGACAGGGCGCGGGCGCCGGTTTAACCGCTACCGCCGTCGCCGGTGATGCGAAAAAGAACAAAAAGAAGAAATTACAGACAGACAAAAATGTACGCGTGCTGGCTGGAAAAGACGTAAGTTGGTCAAATCACTCAAATATTCAACCACATATTAATTATAACTTCTCTGTCATAATACAGGTCGAAGGTCACCGTAGCGACATAATTCACGACGTTGACAAACTTATCGAATACATTGGAGGTGAAGAGGAGGTCAACAAATCAACCAGCAGTAAGTCGAAGAGCGGCAGTGGCGGCGGCAACGTTCACAAAACGAAACTTAATAAACAACACGCCAGTAATGAAGAAAAAGGGGGTGGTAGCGGTAGTGGAGGAGGCGGATCGTCGAAAAAGCAACGTGTACGGGCCAAGAGCAAGGGCGAGAATTTGCAAAAGAGCAGCTCGATGGAGGAGATATCCAGTACGAAGTTGGAAGATTTTGACAGTGACGGGACCAAGGTACCTCTCAGGAATACCAAGAGCAACGTCGACAGGCCCAGGGAACGTCGGTCGTGGGGAAATTCAGATACCGGTATGGATTTCGAAGTAAGTAAGAACATTAAGTTGATGGTCAACAAATACTGCGACATACTGTAATTGTCTTGATTTTTGGTAAACTTATTTCTTGTTAAATATTTGCATATTTTTTATTATCGCATTGTTTTTCAACAGCAAATTCAAAATCTACAAATTTATCCGAACGCGTCAGCGGAGAATTTGGAGACGGCGGATTTCCACGTTGTGACGAAGAAGAAAAAGTCTAAGAAACGTAGGAACAACTCGTTGAGCGGTCGTCGTCAGATGTTGCACGGGGGGCGCGAATCTGGTGATGATGACTTCGGACGTCGTCGGTCGCCCGAGCCTCGTAAATCGGCACGTTCGGTGCCGCAGAGCGAAAAGTCAAACGACTCTTCGGACGATGAAGATCGCGACTCTGTACGATCGTTACCGGTTACGTCCGATCGTATTAGCTGCAGTAATCATGACGACGACGACGATCTCAACGTGCCCGTCTCGTACGCTGACATTGCGCGGAACAGCGGCACCGCAGGAGTGGCGACTGCGCAAGAGCAACAGCGACCGCGTTGGAATCGTCCGCCGAGCGAACGCAGACAAATGGCAAACGCAACCGTTTCACAGCCACTCGTTATCGTCGAGAGGCTTGGAGGAGGAATGACGATGGACGAAGAGGTTAGGAAGCAGTCGCCCGAAAAAACTAAACAACAAGACATCGTACACAACCCCAAATCGCCCCCCGATGTCAACAGTCTTCAGAATTGGCCCACGATTACCAACAATAATAATGTCATTAATAATAACAACAACAATAAAGTAGTGTGTACGACGATTTCAGCGACAACCGTAACTCCTGATGGCGGTGGCGCTAAAGAAAGATCAAGCGCAAACGTCGCTGCCAATAAACAGAAGAACATAACGAACGCCAAAAACATTAAGAATAATAACAACAGTAGTAGTACCAATCATTTCGTAACGCCGCCGCCTTCAATCAAAGACAACAAAACTAATAAAACATACAACAAATACTCGGAACCAATGCAGATGATAAGGAACAGCAGTGAAATGATGAATAACGCATCTAATCTGCCCCACGATGTTCCCGACGTGCAGACAATTGAGAAAATGCATTTGCAAAACGTGTACGCCGCATCCGTAACAACTCGCCACGACAACAACGTTTTACTTGGCGCGCAGAAAACATTCAGTCCTCCACAACAACAACAACAACATCACTTCCATCAGTCTGTGCGACACAATGCGCATGCTCAACACCAACAGCAACAAATTCATCAACAACAGTATGGACATGTGTCGAAAACGTCACCCGCTGCTGCTGTAGTGGTACGCGCGCCCTCGCAGAACGTTGAACCGCCAGTCGTGATGGCAACGGCAACTGCTGCTCCAACTAACGTTGGCGTCGTTGTTCCGCCCGCTGCAGCGATTGTCTGTTGTGATTCTTCAAATAACATTAAAAGAACAGCAACAATGGTCGTTGTGGAGGGCGGAGGCGCGGCCGCGACCGCACCTATTATTGTACCAGTTAGCGTTGCTCCTCCTCCACCTCCCGAAGACTGTGATAGGCCGTTGCGCGGCAACGGCGGTAGTAGTGGTAGTAGTCGGAGGACTAACGTGCGGCCCGCGGTCGTGATATTAAGCGGTAACGCGTCGAAAGGAGCCGAAGTGTCCGGTTTAACGTTCGGGTTTGAAGTAAACGAGCAACTGCTGAGCGATGATGTGTGCGAAAGGTTCGCAGCGCGATTCGTCGCCCCCCAGCACGATGTCTATAGGAACCATCAGCGGCACGGATACGAGAAAATTGTTAATTTTATCGGGAAATGTAAGTTGGTATTTTTCTTTTTCTTTTTTTATTTTTATTTAAACTAACATAAATGTGTAATTAATTATTTTGTTTCAGCCTGGGACGAAATAGTTAATCAAATGGATGACAAAGTGAAATACTATAGTGACCAATTATAATATTATAGGAAACAACACTGAATCCCGCGGTCGTTCGAGTGTCGTTTCGAACGAACTAAGCTAGTCACATGTTTTTTGCGAAAAAATTCTCTTATTAATTTATCGGAAGCGACTTTGTTTTCTTTTTTTTTTTATTATTATCATCATTATTATTTCTCTGTTTTTAACAGTAACGGGACTGCTCGGCACCGAAAAAGTGATCTGTAAGGAAGGAAACTTTCGACTGTATATTCTAAATGACGAAAAATTAGTTTCAGTGATAATTGAAAAAAAAGAACAAGCGACGGCTGTTCTTTTTCTCTTTGTTTTCTCGAAGTTACTCCCTTGCTTCAACTATCAAAAATAAAACAATCGAAATAAAAGTGGCTTCGTCATAGTGCTTCTTACCGTATTGTTGTTCTTTAAGGTAAAAAAAATAACAAGAAAAGTGCTGCGACGTCAAGTGCGCGATTAATTTTAATATTTTTTTCGTTTCTTTGTTCGTTTTTTACTAATTACTGTCGTGTCCAATTAATTAATGAATCGATTACGGGAACAAAAGAGAGACGTACATTAATGATGATAAATACATAGTGACTGATTGTAAACAGTGATCGTGCCGTTTGATAATAATAGTAATAGTCAAATTCGAATTGGATGGTGGCGTTCGAACGTTCGTTGGTGTCCGCCTGTCTCCGACGTGAGAAAAGCCGACTTACCCCCCACCCCGTATAAAATATAATGACGAAAAAGGTAAAGTGATCTAGCCAAAGCATTTAGTTACGTTACGTTAAAACTCGAAGATAAGGACGAGCTGTAACGGCGAGATTGGGAAGGGAAGAATGTGGGAAGGATACGATGTTAACCACATTTACTTTTTTTTTGTCCAATAAAGAAAAAACAACGTAAAGTTGTTAAAGTCGTGGTCATAGAAGACAGTGCCACATTTGCTCTACCCTCCTCTTTCTTTCTCTCTTTCACGTTTGGCCCCTTCAATACAGGTAGAGGGTATTAAGTTCGTTATATTTTCGAGAAATAATTTAAAAGATAAAAGGAAGAGAAAGGAGAGAAGGAAAGGCGTTGTTTTTAATTATTTTGTTATTTTGTTTGTTAAACAATGAAGAAATTATAAATATGTAAAAAAAGAAATCACGCATGTAATATACATACATAAAAAAAAACAAAGAAGTGCAGAACATATTTTATGAATAATAAGAAGTGAGTAAGTTAAGCGGCAAAAATAATAAAAAAAATAACGCGAGCTCTGTTCGTTTGCCAAACGTCTCGGCGGATAATGTAAAAAAAAATGAAGACGAGTTTACGAAAACAAAAAGAAATCAAAATCCATAAGGTGCCTGTGTGTGTGTGTGTATCTATACTATAAAACGTAGCATGCCGTGACCTGTCAACGCCTGCTACAGTAATATTAAATTTTACCAAATGGGGCTTTAACCACCTAGCATTTATGTATATTATCCGATTAGTATGTGATGGCAAAAGTCTTTAACTGTTGCCCATTTATAATCGGCCATAAATAAATAATTTCATAACAATCAAAGCAGAATATACCTAAGAAATATTTAATAATTGTTTGTTTTCGTTTTGTAAACAGTTCTATTAATTTTAATTGTATTAATATCCCACACTCTGATATTTTATTAAATTTTGCAGCCTCAATAAGTGTGAAGTAATTAATCAAATTGTAGTCGCCCTGTATATAAGAATTGTCGTTATAAAGCAATAAATTATACAACAACATTGATTTTTTAACTGATATTATATTATTATTCTCAACGTATTGTGTGTTGCCCATTATTATGGGTTTCTTCTGGGAGAGAATTAATATTTTAAGCTATTTTTTTTTCTTTTTACAATCCGCTGGCACGTTTGACTAACACAGAGGCTTACCATTGGTGTAATTAGATTACTAGATATATTTTTTTAATTTAAATGTATTTAGAGTGTTTTCACGTGTCATACTTTTGTCTATTGTTTTTTTTTTTAATTCAAAATTAATCGTCAATAATACTAATTAGTAAATTAATTCGCTTGTCCTTAGATTGGAAAGCAAAATCTTTCATTTTACTTTTTTCTGTATTGTAGGTATTTTCTTTTGTTTGTTATTATTTTGCTTGTTGTGCATTTGTATTGAAACACGTGGAAACTTTCTAAAATATTGTTGAAAACTAGGAGCAAGAAANCACGGCAAGCGATTCTAAATAATGCATCATATATATACATATATATGATGCATTATTTAGAATCTTACGGTTTTGCCGGCAGAAAATTGGTTCAGTTATTATTAGTGCTGTATTATAATTAATTAATAAAAAAAAGAATACTAAAATGTACTAGTCATAATTTAAAAAAAAATGTCTTTTCGAACACTTGAAATTGTATGCAACGGTTTGTTAATTATTATGTTTATAAATGTACATACAGGGTGTTGGCAATTATAAGTGTCTGAATTTATTCTTGTTTCCCGATTGTAAGTACTCAAATTAACGATTTTGCTACATTTTAGTTTTGAATTCCCGATGTTGCGTTTGTACTGGATATCCGGAAACCCTCACGTAAAGTCTTCACTCACCAATCGATAGAGAATAAAAATTCTAATCAAAAACTCCCGTGTCATTTTTCGATGAGAAGTATACATTTCATGTAATTCGGATTACAATATCGGACGAGAGGTGTATTTAAACTGGGTCTAATAAACAATTTTCTAATCGAAATTGCATAATAAGTATGAGTCGATCTAAATATGACGCTGGACATTTCGATTTTAATTTTATATCGAGTGGTAAGTGAAGAATTTTTGAACACTCGGTATAAACGGTTAATTCTTTTCTTTTCTGTCGTAGTGAGTGTTGGCTTTTGCACGTAAATTTTAATTTTTCTATTCAGTTATTTCATGCAAATTGCTGTTGACGTTAATGTAGGATCGGTGAAATCACCCTGTATATTTGTTTTACTAAAAATTAGTTTATTATTCAATTAATAAAGGTGAGAATAAATTTTCTGTGGCAAAACTAGCTGTGTACATGTATCATAACTGTAATAAGCAAGGAAAAAAAGCTAAGTCATTTTTTTAAGTTTCCAAACTAGGGTATTAATCCTCTGGACTTTATCTGAACTACATTAGAAGCAGTGTATATTTTTTAGAATTTTATAAAAGTTAAAGTGTGCCAGTTACTGCGATAACAAAACTTTCCCGACACAAAGTTCATCTTTCGAAAGTTGCGGGTAAACAGTCAGTATGTGAAGAAGGTCTTCTTTTCTTGTTGTTAAATTATTGTTGGATGTGTGTCCCAGGTTTTGTTTCGGTCACTGAGCGCACGAAATTTGTACAATTGTTATTTGGAAACGTTCATTTTCTTTTTTTTTTATATTTATTAAGACAAATCGATCGAATCTATTATAATGCATACTTATTATGTCCCACGCTAGAATATTTATTAAATGCAAACAGGATCCTAACAGCATCTAGTCCCTCTAATTATTTTTTCTCTTTATTATTTTAAAGCAAGTAATATTTGTTGTGTAGTTGACACATTAATTATTATTATATCAAGTTCCTAATCCTCTTTCCTTCGGGCAAACTATATGATACATACAAATACACACATCTAATATATACATATATATATCTATATATTTTTGCTTTATCGGCAGTCGTGGGACATAAATATATTTAAATTTCTTTTTCCTTTATAGAATTTCAATTTTTTTTTGCGCTCATTTTACAGAACGTTATATTTTCAACATGTAGAGTTATAATGCTCCTGTACTTTTAACGTTTACCGTTTGCTTATGTTACAATAAGAAATGTTTATTTAGTACACTTGTTACTTTAAATTTAACAATAAATCTTTTGGAATTATGTAATGGAACCTATAATTCACGTATTAGATACACCTTAATAAATGAATGGAATGGAATGGAATCAATAGATGTAGTAATATAAAAGCACGTAAAATATTTGTGAAAATATAATTTACTTTGGTAAGCCTAAAATTAAACCCTGTATAATAAAAATATAGAAGTAATAGAAATTAGTACTTATGCAGAGTAGTTCAAATTAACGCCCTTTTTTAAACAAGAAAAAATGCAGTATCTATGAGTTTTACAATAAGGAAGAATATAGAAGTAATATAGCGTGGTTCAAATCGTCGACGTGTACTAATAGACATGCCTTAGCGGTCAGAATTGTGGTACAACAAAAGAAGAGATGGAACGAAGTTTCTGACAATATCCATCTCTCTCACAATAGTGCGTACGCGTGTCTTAAAAGAGATAGCACTAGTCCGAACCATACGCCATCCCCTCACTTTTCGAGCCAAGAAATTATTACAACGGCTAAGTCACGTCCATTAATATATGTCTATGGTTCAATGAACACCTTTTTGAGCTTATGCAATATCTATGAATTTTATCCTTATATTATGGACCTCGATTATGACTATCTATGATTATGGATATTGCCTTGTATTATATTCAATTATATTAATGTCAAATACTTTAAGGTTAGAGGTAATTTTCGGAAAACTAAAAGAAAGTTGTTTAAATTATTCAAATATAAATTACAAGTTACAGTAAATACTGTTAACTTGCCACAAGACATAATAGTTTTTATTAATATATGTTAAAAGTGTTAACTTAACTACTATAAGCGTTTCGTTATTGGTTCATTGAACAAAGTAAATCGAAATTGGGCATTATTTATATAATATATTTGTTTAAATGTGAAGCATACGATGTCAAGAATTGTATGTTATTTTCATGAATTGACGATAAAACATCACAAATGTGGAACATGACCGATTTCTTTTTCCCAGAAAGAAGACTTTTGCCTCAAATCATTTACAATAGTAAGAAACCACATAAATGTGACCAATGTGATAAGTGTTTTGCTCGTCGTGGAGACTTAAAGGTTCACTGTTTAACTCACACAAACGAGAAACCATTCCAATGCGATTTGTGTTTCAAGCGTTTTACGAGAAAGTGTAGTCTCAAGAAACATTCGTTTATTCATTCGGGTGAGAAACCATTCAAATGTGACATATGTGAACGTTGTTTTACTCGTAAAGGTGATTTAAATATGCACTTTTTGACTCACACCGGAGTCAAGCCTTTCCAGTGTAAACTCTGTTTGAAACGGTTCACTAGAAATTGCAGCTTAAAGAAGCACAACCTCATACATACAATATGCAATACAAGCTTTTCTTATAAAGGTAACATGAAAATTCATATGAGCATACATACAGGTGAGAAACCATTTAAATGTGATGTTTGTGAAAAGTACTTTACAAGAAGTGGTAGTTTGAAAATACACTTTCGAACTCACACTGGTGAAAAACCGTACCAATGTAAGTTATGTTTTAAACGGTTTACTAGAAAATGTAGTCTGAAAAAGCACAATTTGATACATACAGGTGAAAAACCGTACAAATGTAGCATTTGTGATAAGTGTTTTACGAGAAATGGAAGCTTGAAAATTCATTTTTTAACACACACTGATGAAAAACCTTTTCAGTGTAAACTTTGCCTTAAACGTTTCACACGAAATTGTAGTCTTAAGAAGCACAGTAAAACGCATTCTGATGAGAAAACAGTTAAAACTAACATTTGTGAAAAGGTTTTTCCGTATGCTAATGCAGACGAAAATTATTTTAGTGTCAGATTTGCAGAGACCTTCTGTAAGAAACTGCTTTCTTAGATTGATTGATTTATTTCTCTATCTAAATATAAATATTATTGTTAGAGATATGAAAATCTTGAGTGTTATTAGTTTTGCTTTCATTTATGAATAGTTGGTCTATTATTTTATTTTATATTTTCGATCTTAAGAGAAATATTTGTACAGCAGTATTATGTGAATTACATGTTACATTTTTGTAACTTGAGAAAATTATTTTATAATCCGTACTAATAAATGTATTTTAATGCAATTTGTACAGTTCTGTAGTTATAGCATGTTTGCTTATAATAAATGATAAAACATTACAAGAAAATTTTATACTTTTACCAGCGTTACCTTAATGTTTTTACATTCTTAACGAGTCTGAAAACTCAACAGTCATTTTTTAATAAAATATATTTTTTTTAAGATACAATACTTACAATATAANTTGGCTTGCTTTATTTTGGTAAAAAATGATTATTTATAGTGTTTTTACGTATTTTTCGGTCAAGGTGTCGACCCACATATAGGAACTAAAATCGAACGAATCAAGTTGAAAATTTTTGCTTAACTGCTCGAATTGTTCGATTTTCGTTCATATACGTGAGTCGATTTTATCCGAAAAAACTGTAAAACAGAATAGATAACCATTTTTTTACAAAAATAAGGCAAGCCACAGCTAGTTCTTATCATTTATTAATTAATTTTCCATATCAGTTGTTATTTACTGATGAATTAAGCGAAAAATTTGACAAAAAAAATTTAATATGTTCTTTTTACTTTTTTTGGGAGTTACATTTGCTTTCCCGTGTTTTTTTGAAGTACCCTCTTTTTTTATAATAATAAACTTCTTAAAAGATGTTTCTGAAGGTATTTGCACATTACCAAACTTACCAGAAATGCACTTTTTAATAAACTTTCGAAAACAAGGACTCTCTAATCGCTTCCAAGGAATTTTGCAGCCGTCCATGAATTTTACAAGCTCCTTGTTGAAATTCTTTTGTCGATCAGTGGCATTTGATTTGCTCAAACTTAATGTTTTATGTTTCTCTCGAGAGCGGTGCTTCACAATACCTGATCTTGTTTTACAGGTCAGGGTCATGTTACAAGTTGTGCATTTAAGTGTACTTCCTTCCAATACCAACTCTGGAAACTCGGCCAGCCAGGATTCCATGGTTTCTTGTAATGGTAATTTTACTGATTTTTGCGAACTACCTTTACTAGTCATAATACTGATGGTAAATTGGATTCGCTAATGGTAAAGTTCCTTTTCGAAAATCAAAAACAACAGCAAAATCAACAAAAATAAGGGTTATAAAAAGTAAATATAAAATTATACCAACAATCGGCTTCGTCGTTTTTTTATTATTAAATGTTAATTATAAACAATAATATTAGTCATAATAAATTATCAGATAACAATTAAAAACATACTATAATAATTACAAATGTCATTAAATTTGGGCTCCAACCCACTTGACATTAAAGAAGTGCGGGTTATCTAACTTCATTTTATTACAGGTTATGTGTTTTATTAACTAATTTTTAATTAAAGAAGTAATAATTAAATAATTTAACTTTCTTCGTTATTTTTAGCTCGTTTTGTGTGCTTTTATTTATAATAATAAATAATAAGTGCTGTTAAATTTTATGTAAAACTGATAACATACTGCGTACAATGTCCAAATTCTTGATAACTTGGACATGATTGCATTATATATTAAGCTTGAGGAGTTAAGACGGGTAAGAATTGTATTTTTCAATTATTTATTTGTTTAATGATGATGTGACAGAAGTACTATAGCTGATTATACATATATTGATAAGACGTAGCTCATATATCTCTGCACACTAATAACATTAATAAATGATATCACAAAATTTTGTCAACAGTAATATATATTATATTAAATAGTGTAGGTTGTACTGGTAGGCATCTGCTCTTTGCAGAGTTTCAAAATTGTCACTAATGTTTTTGTGCACATTGAAGTTAGTTAACATAGTTCTATTTAGGGTTGATTTACTAATGAAGAAAACGATCTACGTTTCTTTGTAAAGTAAGTAGTGCAAATTCGCGAAGTTGTTTTGCGAAACAAAACACATCCGAATATTGCCTTCGTTGCTATCAACATATAGCGACAGAAGATAATTAATTTGTAATGAGGAGTAAAAACTTATCATTGATTTCAGATCTTGAATTAGAACTAATTAAAATGGCACAACCACAAGCTCCTGTGGAACGAGAACCGTCAGATACTCCTGGGGGACAACCAGAATCACAAACTACTTCCAATATCTTGGTGGAACCTGACACAGGCATGGAAGTACGTAAAGCAAAGATAGAACTTAACGGGAACAAAAAAGTGCAAGTATTAAAGCTTATCATCGATGCTTACACAAACATTTTCGACCGATTCTTCCCTAATCTCCCTTCTACAGCCCAGGAGAGATCAGATTTAAACATCAGTATACAAATAACTAATATTATATTCACTTTACATTCTATTCGACGGCGGGCCTTTACAGCTTCGGACTCGAACACGATTGGAAAGTTAAAGCACCAGTTGGTTTAGTATGAGTGACCTCGAATTAAACCGCCCTGGATCATTCATAGAGGACATGACCATTCAAACCACAGGAAAATTCTTCGTGGGAGGAAACCAGTAGTTTTAAGTGTTTAAACTAAACTTTCTTAATATTGTATTGTTACCACTTTTTATAAATCGCTTTTTTCTTGTATTTCGTTCTTTTTTTGAAGCTAATTTTTTATAATATTGTTATTAGTGTTGATAAAGAAAGACCCTTTCAATTTGTTTGACAAAAATGTTACCGAATTTGTTATAAATTCAAATTTTTACATAAGTATTTGAAATGTATGAATAAATAGTAGAAGCACATTAATATAATTATTGATTAATCGTTTCAGTTATCGTTTATTGACGAATTAAGTAAAAATATTCAGCAGTTCGACTGATTCCCAAAAACAATCTACAGGTAAAATATTTTAAAAGCTAATACGAGAATAAATACCTCCCCTTTAAGTTATTTAAAGGTTTATAATTAAGAGTTATTGGGCAAAAAGTATGACAACAAAATTTAGTTATGTATATTATTAGTCTTTATAATACTGCACTTTGCGATTGTCCCTTATATTTGAGTTGCTGAATTGCAGAATGTCCTTCGTATTTCACGTAACTGGAACGTCATCTCGCGGACGGTAGTCAAATATTTAGTTATATATCTAGTTTACATATTACAGATGTTTACCAAACAGCTACTAAAGTTTAAGTTTAACGTAAAAAACCATAAATAATCATTTTTTGGCAAAAATAAAGCAAGCAAAAGCTCATTAATATCATTTATTAATTAATTATCGATATCAGTTGTCATTTACTGATGAATTAAGCGAAAAATTTGACAAAAAAAACGCAAAAAATACAACAAAATTTGATACTTTGTTCAATAACAAAGCTAACGAGAGCGTATCTAGATCATTTATTGCTTAATCTTTAATATTTGATGTGTTTTATTGAAGAATTACGCAAAACTATTCTGACAAATTTCGATTTTCATTCCGATACGTCGCTCATCCTTGAACGAAAAAAACGTAAAAAACACCATAAATAATCATTTTTTGGCAAAAATAAAGGAAGCGGGAGCTCTTTATACCATTTATTGGTTAATATATATCATCAGCTATCATTTATCGATGAATTAAGCAAAAATATTTGGCAGAAGTTCGATTTCAGTTCCCAAAATCGATCGACAGGTAGCTATACATGGGTTATTTTTGGGAATCAATATAGAACATTTGGTCAAATTTTTCGCTTAATTCATCAATAAATGACACCTGATAACAATAATTAATCAATAAGTGATAAGAATTAGCTTTGGCTTGCTTTATTTTGGTAAAAAATGATTATTTATAGTGTTTTTACGTATTTTTCGGTCAAGGTGTCGACCCACATATAGGAACTAAAATCGAACGAATCAAGTTGAAAATTTTTGCTTAACTGCTCGAATTGTTCGATTTTCGTTCATATACGTGAGTCGATTTTATCCGAAAAAACTGTAAAACAGAATAGATAACCATTTTTTTACAAAAATAAGGCAAGCCACAGCTAGTTCTTATCATTTATTAATTAATTTTCCATATCAGTTGTTATTTACTGATGAATTAAGCGAAAAATTTGTCCTAATGTTTGATTTTGGTTCCCAAAAACAATCGACAGGTAGATACATGGGTTATTTTTGGGAAACAATATTGAACATTTGGTCAAATGTTTCGCTTAATTCATCAGTAAATATTAACTGGCATCCTTGATTAATTAACAAATGATATAAATTAGCTCTCGCTTGTCTTTTTTTTGTAAAACAATTATTATTTACGGTGTTTTATACGTATTTTTCGGTCAAAATTAACCCATGTATAAGAAACAAAATCGAACTTTCGATAAATTGTAATTTATTGATGAATTAAGCAAAAACTTTGAACAAATGTTCGATTTTAATTCCCAAAAACAACCCACAGGGAAGCTATACATAGGTTGATTTTCACCAAGGAAAAACGCAATGTGGACGGTAAATTACTATTATTTGTCAAAATTAAGGTTACCGAATGAGTAATGAGATTGTTTTTTATTGAATTAAGTGAAAAAGTCCGTATAAAGTATATTTTTTACGGATAAAAATGAGCTAAAGTATTTCCTGGTACTGATACAACTACAAATTATTTTACTTCAGAAAAATTTTGGTGGATGGGCCTGGCACCGTAATTTTGTAGACACGATAGTTTCGAAAATTGAAATTTCGTACCAGGAGAGCATAAAGTATGCAAGGTTATATTTCTGCGCTTTAACATTAGTGTTATTATTATTTTATTATTAATTTTCTAAAGTAGTGGCTCTATAACCACTATCGATAACCTGATAATAACCACCTTTAAAATTAAATATTTCCCTTATTATCAAAATGCATGAATTGAGTTTTTGGTACAGATTATTGGAGAATGATTTGTTTATAATTTTGATAACTAAACGCTACTTTTTAACTTATTTCTTTGCCAAAAATTTGAAAATGACCTTTTTCTTTATGCATTGTAACTACTTCGGTCGGTTGAAGTCAACATCGAAAAGTTCGTTGTTATGGTTATCAGTTGTCATTGTCAATTTCGAATTTGTTTTGTTTATTTTACAAAAATACAGTGAATTATTTATTTTTAACAGGTTAGCCCTTAAAATATCGATATTGAAACAGTTCCATTAATTGTGATGTTCCAAAAATTAATAAAAGGTGAAAAGTATTGTTATATTATCGTCATTAGTTACTTCAATAATTTGTAACCTACACACAGCTATTGGCTTAACTAATAAAACTTTTTCAATTACTTTTATTTTATCTGTTTAAATGCGATAAATCAAGACAATGAATTATAATTAGCTGAAGAGAAATATTCTTAACTGATTTAAAGCAAGTTATGTAAACATTTCTAACTTACCATTCTGAGTGGGTATCGCCGTGGTCTTTTTAAAACATTCAACAGCTGCTTCTGTCATCATCTTCAGTATAAAATATGGGACTGTGTAATGTGGCAAATGTGTTTAAAATGTATGAAATAATAGATAAATCAATAAATTTTGAAGCTGTATTGATATATTAAGAAAAGCGTAAATAAAGTAATGTTAAAATGATTTATAACAACATATTGTAGAAATTTACAGTACTTACGTATAAAACAGATATTTATAAATATATGCATACTTTACTCATGAATGAAAGAGTGAAAACAAAATAAGTATATAAAGCAAATAATCTAAAATAGTATGAAAACATTACTCTGAAGAATGCAATGTTAAATATTAATTAATTATCTACTATACACTCTACATAAAGCAACCAAAAATAGAAGTATTTTTAATGATTTATAAAAAAAAGTAAAAATAAATTATCTAAATATTTAAGTACAAAAGCTCACTTTTCGA